GCCATGGCCATCATAGAAAAGAAGTACAGCAGCACACACACACACACCCACGCACACACACACACACACCCACGCACACACACACACACACACACCCACGCACACAGCAGTCGCTCACCCACCTGTGTGGCCAGGTCGGGGGTGTAATGCTGAGTGAGATCCAGTGGGGCGGGGTGTGACGTTGAGGATTATCCATGGTATCAGCAGTGAAGGTGGTGCATTTTGAGACGTCTCAAAGGTATCAGCAGTGAAGCCGATGCTCATCATGGGAGGGAACGCAATGGCAGTACTTGAGCAGGATGGAGGAGCAGTGCAGCAGCAAGCGAGCACACACAGGACTCGCCCCCCTCCCCCCCCCCCCCGCGATGGCGGGGTGGGAGGGACAGCCCACTCTCCCACCTACGTGGCCAGGTCCGGCGAGTAGTCTTCAGTGAAGTCGAGCGGGTGAGGCACGGGAATGTCCATGGTACCGGCTGTGAAGCCGGTGCTCATCATGGGGTTGAGATGCCATGCGGTGCAACAGCAAGCACAGAGAGCACGATGGCAAGGCCACACAGCACACAGCCCACTCTCCCACCTCTGTGGCTGGGTCCGGGGTGTAATCCTCTGTGAGGTCAAGCGGGTCAGGCACGGGGATATCCATGGTGTCAGCAGTAAAGCTGGTGCTCATCATGGGAGGGGATGCCATGCCATGGTCATCAGGAATAAGCAATGCAGCAGCAAACACACACAGCAGTCGTTCACCCACCTGTGTAGCCAGGTCTGGGGAGCAATCCTCTGTCAGGTCGAGCGGGTCAGGCACGGGGATATCCATGGTATCGGCAGTGAAGCCGATGCTCATCATGGGGATGCTGGGGCGTGCAACAGCAAGCGCACAGAGCGGGACAACAGGCCCACAGAGCACCCACTCACCCACCTGTGTGGCCAGGTCAGGCGTGTAGTCTTCGGTTAAATCAAGCGGGTCAGGCACGGGGATATCCATGGTATCGGCAGTGAAGCCGATGCTCATCATGGGGATGCTGGGGCGTGCAACAGCAAGCGCACAGAGCGGGACAACAGGCCCACAGAGCACCCACTCACCCACCTGTGTGGCCAGGTCAGGCGTGTAGTCTTCGGTTAAATCAAGCGGGTCAGGCACGGGGATATCCATGGTATCAGCAGTGAAGCCGGTGCTCATCATGGGGATGCCGGGGCGGTCGTCGATGTGGCTGCTGTAGAACGCCATGGGGTGGTCGCACGTGTTCACAAACAGCTCAATGCGCATGTCTATCAGCTGATACCGCACCACCGTGTCCTGAGAATTTGTTTTATGGGGGCATGGAGGGGGTTTGTGCAATTTGAGGGTGCATCTGCATGAGTGGTCGCACGTGTTCACAAACAGCTCAATGCACATGTCCGTCAGCTGATACCGCACCACCGCGTCCTGAGGCGGAGGGGGTAGCGAGGTGAAGGGCGAAGGGGGAGAGGAAGAGAATGGGTGGTGTGTTCTCGAACAGCTCCACGCGCATGTCCGCCAGCTGGTACTAAGAGGAAGTGCGTCCTGACAGGTTGTGAAGGAAGTGGAGGGGAGGGGAGGGGAGACGGAAAAGAAAGGGGAGAGGGTTCTGTTGAGCCTGGACGTGTGGGAGTGGTCGCATGTGTTCACGAACAGCTCAATGCGCATGTCCATCAGCTGGTACCTTACCACCGCATCCTGACAGGTTGTGAAGGAGGTGGGGAAAGAAGGCGGCAGAGGGAAAAAGGGAGAAGGGGTTAATGAGGGTAGGAGTGTGGGGGTGGTCGCATGTGGTCACATACTGCTCCATACTGGTACTGCACCTCCGCGCCCTGACAGGAGTTGCTTGTTTTGAGGGGTAAGGGGGTATGCTTGTGAGGCTGGGTATGCAAGAGTGGGCGCATGTGTTTACATGCAGCTCCAAGCTGGTACTGCACCTCCGCGCCCTGACAGGAGCTATTTTTAGGGTTCAGGGGGTGGTGGATCGGAAGGAAAGGGGTTGGCGAGTTCTGTGCTTTTGAGGCTGGGAGAAGGAGGTGAGGTAGGAACGCGGTGTGTCCAATGCGGTTGACTCATGTCCAGCCATGCCATGCCATGCCATGCCATGCCATACCCACGCCATGACCACTGCCCCTCAAAGCCATCCGCACCATCATGCATAGCATATACCTCCTTAGTCAAAACCCCAACCAAGTCAGCGTGGACGCACGTGGATCATCTTGACGGTCTGCAGGAAGCGGTTGAGGCGGTAGTATTCGCGGAAGAAGCCCCCATAGCGGAACAACACCTTGCCGTTGATCACCTTCACGTGCCCCGCACATGACATGATGGCGGGCGTCTTGCTCATCCGCGCCAGCGCCTCTGGCGTCACCATACCCGTCTTCCCCACTCCCGACGTCAGATTCTGCGTTTCAAGGAAAAAACACAGTCGGGAAATAGGTGTTCCGGGACAGGAGGGATCTTTGCCAGCGTCTTGCCCATCCGCGAGAGTGCCTCTGTGGACACCATGCCCGTCTTACCCACTCCCGAGGTCAGATTCTGGTGGAGGTGAAGGTCAACCGGGATGCAGCGTCAAGGGAGGTTTTTCAGTCAGTAAGGAGGGTCATGGGAACAGAAGGGAGTCTTGCCCATCCACGTGAGTGCCTCTGTGGACACCAGGCCCGTCTTACCCACTCCCGAGGTCAGATTCTGGTGGAGGGAGAGGGCGATGCAGTGTGAATGGAAAGAAGGTGTGCAATCAGGGAAGCGGGGTGTGCGTGTGCGTGTGCGTGCGGACTAGGAGCATGAAGACCAGCGCGTTGCCGCCTCTTGGGTGAGTTCCTCTGTGGCGCGTTACAGAGGAACTCACCCAGGTTGGGACTCTTACAGAGCACACCTTTGGCATGGCAGGTGAAGCAGTGCTGGTACTCTTGGCGAGTCATCCTGACCTTGGTTAAGCAACGACATTGACATGCGATTCAGCTGGTAGAAAGCGTACTGTACTGACCTTGACACGCTTTTGAGGCGACTCAAATGTCTGGTTGCCTGTACTGACTGTCATTGAGAGGGCGCCACGATTCCAGGTACTTGTGGATTAGCTGCAGGTATTTAACCGCCATGGGTTGAGTCAACACTTTCGAGTTGACTCAAAAAGCATCAAAGGGCTGTGGTAGCGACCTGCCTGTACTGACCTTGATAGGCCGCCACGGTTCGAGGTATTTATGGATCAGCTGCAGGTATTTAACCGCCATGGGTTGCGTCAACACCAGCCGCTTGTACTGCGGAAGCCGGCCCAATAGCTCTTCATCCGGCGGCCGGAATTCACGGGGAAGGGGACACGTGCCCTGCGTGGCAGCCCTAGATTTCATCTCCTCCCACACGTCACGCACTCCCCACCCGAGAATCACCAGGAACCCCGTTAGCAGCACAAGCCGCGATCCAAACTGGTCCATGGATAGTCGAGCCAGACCTAATCGCACCAACACTCTGTGGTACAGTGATCCTCCGTGGTACGCGCTGCCGAAGCCACGTGGACTGCCAGCCTGGCGGAACATTCCCTCGTCAAACGAGCCGCCAGTGGGGCTGTGCGCCTCGTGTCCGTGCTCGCGCTCATCATCCTCCTCGTCGCGGTATGCTCTAGGGCTTCGAGCTCCCGTCGCGCGCTCCTTGAGGTGCTGACTGCTGCTGTACCCTGCCACGGATCGACCGCTCGCACTGGCCATTTCCGCACGTGACGATTGGTTTGGCGCTTGGCTATCTGGAGGGACGTATTGCCGGTCCTAATAATCCGGATAGAGCTGATTGATAGTAGAAGCTCGCGAATGTAAATAAATTTCCCACTACAGGAAACAATGTGCGAGGTAAATCGTTACGGCGCAATTCCCGTATGCATTATGCTATGCAGGCCTGTGGCGTTGAAAATGTTGCTAACTCCTTGATCTGGAAGCTTCATTGCTGGATCTGATACTGGTGCCAGCGTCCTAGAACGGGATTCACCACCTTGTGGCCAGTTTCGCGCCAACTTGCAATACGAGCGTCTGTGACGATCCTAGAGCGCATTACGTGCTATTCATGGCGATGATACGTAGTCGCTGTCCACTCAAATCTGCATGATTGTACAAAAACGCTAAGTCGTGGTGGGCATTGGCCAAAGCACGTGATTGAGCACACGCGAATCCCCAGGTTCTCCCACTGGATTCCAAGGAAACCGTGGCAATCTCCAGGTGGTTGGTTGTTCTCTCTACCAAAGGCCACCGAGAATGACGAAACGACGAACAGAGACAAATGCTAATATATTTTTCGCGAATACTCGACGGCAGTCATTGGTGGTGTTGCCTCGCTGTTCAGTTACACAGGGTATCATGGCACTAACAAATGCTATTCTCGCTGTATTCAAATGCGTTTTATGAACTACATAATGCGCAGATCCGCTCTCGTATGATGTAACATCAATTTCTACTAAGCGAGGTCGAGGGTTCCGAACCTGTTCTAGTAACGATACCTTTTTTTTTTTTCACGAACCGCCGAATGACCATTTGGTCCCAAGCCAGACCAGCCCAGACCAGCCCAGACCAGCCTAGGGCTTCAAACCAAGGCGCGTGGAAAAAAGACTTGTGCGCAAAAGTTCTTGTATGGGATGCAACACCTGCAACAAGGGGCTTCAACTTGACTACATCGAGTTCCAATAAATCCAACAACCTCACCGCCCATGCTGGCCGTCGATTATCTGCAGTCTGCTCCATCAGTGCACACAGCTCGCAGCGACACCACACTGCGCGATGCGAGACCCCGTGCTCCCCCGATTCAGCCCCTTATGCATTCTGCGTCCTGCCTGCCTGGCTCCACCCGACTTGGGATCCGACTCTGCTTTCTCTCCCACATTCCAGCTCTAGAATTACGGCTGGACACGCGTCTCAAACGTCATTCTCATGACTGGTGTCTCACGCATTTCTCAAGTGACTTCCTCGATAGACCAATCCGCCCCCATTCAGCCAGACTCTAGCATTGTCGACCCCCAATATACAGCATGTCAGACCGAAGCAACATTCCACCGAGTGGGCGCAACCCTCTCTACGGGGGACCGTCGAACAAATCCTTCAACCGCACTCCCTCGTGGGCCTACAAGAACGGCGGAGACGGCGGGGATGGCAGCGATCAAGGCTCCCCGACCGCATCCCCCCTGCGCAGCCACCGCAACGCCTCTCAGTCCCCTTACTACGCGCCACAGTACGAGAACCCAGGCTACACAGTCGAGACTCCGAGCGCATACGACCCGTACTTGATGACCAGCGGGTCGATTCACGGCAGCCATCTGTACCGCCCAACGGAAACCTACTTCGTGCAGACTCCCGCGCATTCCATACGCGGTGCGCGCGTGGACGAGTCGCCGGAATCCTCGGCGCCGTCGTCGCCGCAGCACCCGGAGGGTTACGCGGAGATGGGAGGAAAGTTCGGCGAAGAGGCGGTGTTCGACGACTCGGATCACGAGGATGAATTCTACCCGGACATTCAGAGGGAGAAGTTCCGCAAGAAGCGCTTCAAACAGTTCTTCTGCTTGTGGTCGCTGCTGGTCGTCGCGGCGCTCATCGTCGCGGGATGCATTATCGCGTGGGTCGTGTACCAGCCAACACCGCCCACCTACACCATGGACGTACGTCGGAAACCAGGAAATTGGTTTGCCCCGATTCCTTTCAATGCTCCTCTTAGTCGCGGACTCTGACCCGTGCTCAAGTACCGCAACCTCTCCATTGTCCCCAACCCAGTTCCATTGCCTCAATCTCCCTGACCTTCCCGTGCCTTTCTCCCTGCGCCTCATTCGCGTGCCGTTCCCCCCTCCCCCGTCCGCAGTACGCGATGGTGAACGAGTTTCAGACGTTTCCCGATATGCTGGACGGCAACGGGCTGCCGACGGACCAGCTGTACGCCAACCTCACGCTCATCTTCTCCATCCGCAACCCCAACACGCGCTACGTCTCGTGGTTCGACGGCGGCGAAGTGAGCCTCGGCTACAGCTCCATCAAGGCCATGATGAAGGGACATGTGAGTGACCTTCCATTTCGTTCCATCGGTGCTGTTATCCCTTCGCTATAAGGTTCTCTCTCTCTCAGAAAGCTGGCATGTCACCTAATCGGTTTCCGTATCGGCTGCCCCGTGGTGTGCCATTGCCTCCGTCTGCAGTTCCCCAAGTTCAAGCAGAACCAGCTGGAGTGGAACAGTTTCAACGGGTCCGCCTCCACCATGGCCTTCCCCCTGTACGGCGGCGGCATGGCGCTGCGCTCCGACATGGCGGAGCAGTACGTTCCGCTCAGGCTGAATGCCACGCTGCGCGCGCACGTGGATGTGATCTGGAAGGTCGTGTCGCCCGTGTACACCCATTTGATGGAGTGTATTGTGAACATTAACCCCCTGGCGCTGCAGTACATCAACGACACATGTACGGTGACACAGATTTGAGCTGATTGGCTCGATGGAACTACCCTTACTCCCCACTTATCCAGCTAGTAACAGAGAACAGCGCCATTCCTCTGCTTCCAGAGAATTGTTAGACCAGCCTTCCAGCCCCCTTTCCATTTGTTCCTTAGATTCCTTGTAGAAAGATGGGTTTGGGATCACAAGGTATCCAGTGCAGAAGGCACCTCACCTGTTTGATAATCAATAATGTAATCTTATTGAGCTTCTCCATAAAGTCAGATGAATGCTACTTGTATGTGCTGTAAAACTCCTGCTATACGTCTGATACCTCAAATACATGAGCGTTTTAAATGTAAGTGTGTACATGCCAATTTTTACAATATATATTTTCAAAGCCTGTATTCCATACTGCCATCCTAGGTCCCTACTGGTTTGGTCAGCTCCCTCAATCCGGTTTGCAAACAATAGGTCCCTAATATTTTCTTACAATAAATTCTTATCTGGGGTTAAAAATACAAAATATTAGTCTGGGAAACAAGAGACATTCATTGTAGCTAGTTGAAACATTCAATTTCCAACATCAACAATTATGTAGGCTCACGAGTGTACAAACTGACCGCCCAAGCAACTGCAGAGCGTGGCATCCATCCCCCATCCATGAATATTGTCATCATCATCAACAGCAGAATTTGTGCAGATGGATGGATTTCCTGCTCTGCAGGCGGAACATGATTTGTATGTCAGCGACTTCTTGCTCCCGTCCAGTCCAGTCCCGTCCCGTCTTGTGCCCCCTGCTCTGCCATCGGTATTCTCCGCTGGTCGCCTCTGTCAACACATCTCCCTACCTTGGTTGTCTCGCGTTGCCCATTGTCAAGCCCAAGATAAGCTCGGCAGTATCCTCGTTCTTGAAATTGACGCCTTGTAGCAACCTGAACAGCCTTTTCCACGCCCGCATCAAGGATTTGCTGAAGCATCTTCGTCTCAACAGTCGCCTAGTTGCCCTTTTCAGTGATTGCGAATTCGGGATCGTTTCCAGTCAACCAAAGGTGCACAACTTCGTAGGTTCTGGTTTAGGTGAATCGAGGAAAGAAAATCTTGGAAGTCAGTGACGACGATTCGGAAAAGATTCGAAAGTAGAAGTGACAATGGCGGCCGCTTCGTCACAGACTGCGGACCAGGAGTGGCTGCTGTGTCGGCTGAGGGAATGCCTGGATCCGGGAAACACCAACCGCGTTGTCGCGGAAGAGGCGCTGCGACAGGCCGAAGCGATGGCAGGTGTGTCGCGCGGGGATGCTAGGTGTATCGCAGGTCGATGGGCCGGGTGTTCCGAGGCTGTGTGTCGCGGGGCGACGATAGGCGTGTCGCAAGGCGATGATAGTTGTCCTGCGCGGCGTTACGCTGCACTCTACGAATCTGTGTTCCACTCCCATATGCTAGATTCGTCTCTCGAATCCCGTGCGAATGCCACGTGACTTGTCAATACGCGAGTCACACTTCACACGCCACTGCTGGCCTCCACGTGCCTCCCGACGCCTCGTGTACATGTAGGGAGATCCCCTCTGTTCATGCTGCATCCCACGTCCCACGTCCCACGTCCCACGTCCCTCGTCCCACGTCCCACGCCTCTCGTCCCTCGTGTGCTCAAGCTCCTCTGTTCATGCTCCAGCTCGCCCGCTACTTAATCCCTAAACCCCTTCTGCCCTCCACGCGTCCCTCACCACCACGCATGCGGCGCCGTGCAGGCTATGCGCCGGCGCTAATGGGAGTGGCGGGCAACAAGGGCCTCGACGCGGGGACACGACAAATATCCTCCTCCTCGCCCGCTTCAACCCGCCCAGAATGCACAACTGACCCCACTACAAGCTCCTGTTTAGCTCCTGCACTTCTCCTCTTTGTTCCACATGGATTGCACCTCTGGGAGGACTCCACGTTATCTCTCTGTCTCCACCGCTGTCCATTTAGCAAGCCGTCGTTTCACTGTTTTTTCATCTGTTATTAGTTTCTGCCCTTTGCGTGCAATTGGCCTCTCCTTCTCAAAAGGGTTTCCTTAACTTGTCCTTGTGCTTGCAACTTCCATTCGTTTTCCATCTCCTGTGCGTCCCTCTCTTGGCTCTCCTCCTTCCCATTTCCCGTGTTCCCCACTATCACCCCTTCGTTCGCTGCAATATCTCCCGTATTCCTGGCGATTCTTCTCGTGCTCTTCGCTCTGCACCTAGCAGCAGTGCTGCTGCGGCAGGTAGTGCAGAGGCACTGGCAGGCGGGTGACGAGGATGAGGAGAAGAGATTCACTGTATCACCGGAGGACAAGGTAAACTGGGGTAGGAAAGGTAGAGGGAGGGGGAGAGGGGGAATGTGGTGAGGGTGTACTTTTGAGGCTCCTCAAAAGTGGGGAGGAGGGGGAGGAGGCGGAAGGGGGAGGGCGAAGAAGGGGGATGGGGAAAGGGGGAAGGAGGGAGAGCCGAGTGAGGGATTTTTAGCTTGCGCCTTTTGCACCTAACAGCAGTGCTGCTGCTGCTCAGAGGAGGCTCATGGAGCCAGTAGATGGTAATTGGAGGGAGGATGGATGCAAAGCAATTTGGGCGGAAATGCTTCATGGTAGGCCAGCAACAGTGCACGTTTCTACTGGGGCTATTCGATTAACTTTGTGCCGCCTTAATGCTCCGCCTCCAACAATTCCCGTCATGCCAATGCCACGTCACAAATCTGTGCCATGCTGGCAGGCAGCGGTGCGGTCGCTCCTCCTCCAGGGGCTGGTGGACGAGGAGCCCAAGGTCCAGTCAGCTGTGGGCCTCGCAATTGCACATGTGGCATCGTGTGATTGGCCGGAGGAGTGGCCGGAGCTGATGGACCATCTCATGGCCGCCCTGGCGGACACTGCACACCCCAGCAGAGGTGGGTGGGGGAGTGTTGTGGGTGGGGGGAAGGAGGGGTGTTGCGGATAGGGTTTTGGCTGTAAGGAGTGTCCTTCAGAGCTTATGGATCATCTCATGGCCGCCCTGGCGGACTCTGCTCACCCCAACAGAGGTGGGGGGGAAGTGGGAGGAAGAGGGAGGAAGGGGGAAGGGTCAGGAAAAAGGGTGGGGGGGAGGTATTGATGTGGAGAGAGGAGCTACTGAAAGGGGTAATAGCTATCGGTGGAAGGGAGAGGGGGAAAGATATTGGAGTGGGGGAGGAGGAGGGAAAGGGTTCAGATCGCAGGGGAATAAGCAGGGGGTGGTGGATAGCATTGTGGTTGTGGTGATAGGCTCTTAGAACCCATAGCTTTGTTCTGCACGTCCCGGCAATGGAGGGGGGGAGGGAGATGGTGTGGGTGGAATTGCGGGTGCTAATTGGTTGGTGAGAAACCATAGGTGCAAACGAGTGTGACCTCATGGTCCACTCACCCGTACCCCTCTTGAATCTTCACCAGTCTTCCCCCTCCTCCACTTCCTTCCTTGGTCCTTTTGTACAAGCAGTGGCAGCAGCAGTGGAGTGTCTGTCTCTATTCGCAGAGGAGATTGATGATGCACAGCTGCCTGCTCTAGTGCCCAAGCTCTTCCCCCCCATCTTCGCCATCGTCTCCAATCCCAACCAGGTGGGTCCACCCCCCAACCAATACCAGGTGCAAGCCACACGCATTAGGTGATGACGCTTGAATCCAGATGGAGTTAGCTCAAGTTGTTTATGAATTGGAAGGTAATCCGGATCTTGCTTTGCTGCCCTCACCTTCTCATATGCCTACCACACGCTCCAGGTTTGTCTGTCTCACAAAACTCCCACAAAACCCAGTATCCTCTCTGTACCCTCCTCACCCTCGATTCCATCCTCCCTCCTCCCTTCTCCCTCGTGCCCCAATTCCCCACTCTACCCCAATTCACCCTGTGCCACCACTCCCCCTGCGCCACTCCCCTTGCACCACTCCCCCTGCGTCACTCCCCCTGCGCCACTCCCCCTGCGCCACTCCCCCTGCACCATATCCCCCTGCGCCACTCCCCCTGCACCACTTCCCCTGCGCAACTCCCCCTGCACCACTCCCCCTGCGCCACTTCCCCTGCGCCACTCCCCCTGCGCCACCCCCCCTGCACCACCCCCCCTGCGCCACTCCCCCTGCACCACTCACCTTGCGCCACTCCTCCTGCATGCATCCTCCAGGCGTATCGCCCATCGGCGCGCCGGGGAGCTCTGAGCGTGCTGAGAGCCACTGTGGCCACTCTGGGCATCATGAGCGCCGTGTACCAGGTGAGAGAGGAGGGTTGGGGGGTTGGGCTGACTCTGAGCGTGCTGAGAGCCACTGTGGCCGTTCTGTGACTACTCTCTTCTGTGCACCTTGTTGGGGAGTGCCGTGCTGTAGTTTGAGTTGACTCGCTACTCACCTGAGCGAGCTGAGAGCTACCGTGGCCACGCTGGCATCATGAGCGCTGTGTACCAGGTGAGGAGGGAGAGGGGGGGGTGGAGGGAGGCTGCACCATGTACGAGGTGAATGGGTGGCGGGTTGCACTATGTACTTGTCTCAAGCCCTGTCCCGGCGTCGAGGCCATCAGCGAGAAAGCAACATTGGCTTATGTGTTTTCCCACCTCGTTTCTGATTCAGCACCCCCCCCGCCTCCCTTTTTTTTTCGTCACGTTTCCTCTGCCGTGGAGTGCAGGGGGAGAGAAAGGCAATCGGTAACAATTCCCTTCCAATGTGGGTGGCTCAGTCCATCTAAGTCGATCCAAAGCACACCTCTCTTTTCCCCCCCCTCCCACCCCAATTCTTCGTCACTCCCAATCTTCCTTCTTTGGAGAATACAGGAGGAGGAGAGCAAGGCGATGATCAGCGAGTCCCTACCCGCGTGGGTGGCTCAGTCCATTTCAAGTGTAACTAAAATGTACCTTTTCCCTACCCTCCCCTCTAACCCCCCTCCTATTTCTCCATCACCCTCCCTCCTTGGAGCGCAGGAGGAGAGCAAGGCGATGATCAGCGAGTCCCTACCTGCGTGGGTGGCTCAGTTCTCCGCCATCCTCTCCTCGCCCCTCTCACAGCACGACCCCCAAGACTGGGGCATCAGGAAAGAGGTGAGGGC